TTTTATATGTAAGATTAAGTTAAAAACATTTAAAGATGTAATTAATCATTTAAAGATGATTCATTCTCTTTTGGACAATTCAAAGTTGTTCCTGAAATGTGGTATATTCCATTGTCTTTTTACATTTGCAACATTTTCTGGCTACAGAAAACATCTTAAGAAACATGAAAGTGCTGTTAAAAGTTTAAACAGAGATATTAATGAACATGTTATATCAGCTAATACTTCGGAATCAAGCAAAATTGATACACATTTTAACAAAAATTTAAAAAATATAAAAGAATCGGAAAATAAAATAGAATTGTCCACTATTTGTGATAATTTTTTTTTGCATTTAATGAGTTTAAATTTACCTAACAATCAAACACAAATAATAGTTAATTCAGTTGGAGATCTGATGGGAACCATCTTTTCGTAATAATAAATTTTAAAAATTTTTCCAAAACACTTGCAGAAAAAGTTCAGTTTTTAACAGAATTTGAAAAAGAAACAAAAATGCAATTTGGACCATTAACAATTGTTACGTATGGAAATTTTATCTAACTTCCTTCAGGAGCTTCAAAATTTATTTTTCCGCATTCACCAAGCTGGAATTAATAATCTCATCTATCCTCATTTTTCCAACCCCGGCGTTTTTGTTTCCATATCTTTTCACCCTTCAATCCAAAAACAATTTTCCGATATTTTCAATAAGTTTAATGTCACACCGGTATACCGTGCGAATGCTAAATTGGGCCAATTATTAGCTAATAACAAACAGTCATTCGATGATAAACTAAAAAGTGGTATTTATAGACTTAACTGTAGTGATTGCGACTCTTTTTGCATAGGGAAAACTGAAACGAATATCAGTACTAGATTCAGAGAACATTTAAATAAAGAAAACTGAGGAGTACTACATAAAATCACATCACATTAACAGGTTGAGTGCCACAAGAGTCCAACGTGGTCTCGCATATACTTTTGATTTTCTAGCCAGGTGAGACCAATGTGGTCTCGCATGTACCCACACTTGATTTGGCTGTGTAGTTCCGCAACGGTCTCTCACTGCAATATGAAATCAATGGAGTTCGAAATTGCGCGGCCTGGCGGTCCAGAGACAACTTCATGTTCATGTTCTTCAAGTTGCAGAAGACCAAATATTACTGATTCTCTGAATTTTGTTATAGACATGGGCTCATTGGCGATGTCTCTATAAGCGATGTAAGCATTGATGAAAGCAGTGTCAGTCAAAAGTTCAATGGCAAGTTTTTTATACCACTTCAATGTTTTACGTAGTGAGGAATTGTAACTTTTTTTTTGATCGGCGATATCAATGAAGGCTTTGAACTTGTTATATTCGATAACATTTTTTGGTTTGCAGACTTCACCTCGTCTTCTCTGCACGGTCACCATTTCATCGGTATATTTCGTGCTCAATGTCAGCACGTCTCTCTTATCCTTCCATTTTTGTACTACTATTCCTGAATTGCTTTCTTCAGCGATGGTTTCCCCAAGTTTGAGTTTTTTCGTTATAACATTCTTGGGATTGAATTTTCTGTTTGTTCGTAACGTTCCAATCAAATGAGTTTCACGGCGTAGTAGTTCGTGAGCAAGAGTTACTGCGGTGTAATAGTTATCAGTGCAAAGAGTTCTCCCTTTATGAAGTAAATCTTTCATCAAGTTCAAAACAACGCTATTTGGAACGCCACCTCCCTCTGTCTGCTCCTTACCGCAGTATATTTTGAAGTCGTAGGTGTAACCGCCCTCTAGGCACAACTTGAATACCTTTATGCCAAATTTGTGTCTTTTATTGGCAATGTATTGTTTGAACTTGAGCCGTCCCTGGAATGGCACCAATGTTTCGTCGATGCACACATATTCTCCTGGAACGTATATTCGTTGGAAGACTTCTTTGAGTTTCAGAACAAGTGGTGTAAGTTTCTGAAGCCTATCTTCGGTTACTTCAGAATTATCGCTGAAGTGTAGCATCTTAGATAGCAACTGAAAACGGTTTCGGGACATTACGCCTGTGATGAAGTTTTTATATATAGGGCTCTTCCAATAATCCTTC